CCCTTATGACATCTCATTCATTTGGCACAACTTCAAATTGCTTAGAGTCTTGGATTTTGAATGCTTCAATTTGGGTATTTCATTTCCCGTAGAAATTGAAATTCTGGTACAATTGAGATATTTAGCAGTTGGAGGCTATTTGGAGTCCATTCCGCAGTCGATAGCCAACCTCAGGAAACTGAAAACTCTTATTGTGAAGGGATTAAGTCGTAAGATCACCTTACCAAATACTATCTGGCGCATCACAAGTTTAAGGCATTTTCATGTGAGTGTCCACGTTGATTTCGATTCAGATGCTGAAGAGCTTGGTGATTGCTCCTTATTAGAAAATTTGATCAGTTTTTCCCGCCCATCTCTTTCTTGTGGTGAAGATGCAGAGAGGATTATAAAGAGGATTCCAAATCTTTGCAAACTGAGTTGCATATTCTATGAATCACCAGATTCTTCCATGAACTGCAATCATTTTCCGAGATTGAACTGTCTCACTCATTTGGAGTCACTGAAGATATTCTACTATGGAAGCCCTCTTAACAATGGCGAGTTCATCCTCCCTTTGAATCTAAAGAAATTGACTTTATCAAACTTTCGCCTTCCATGGAGTCATATATCCACAATTGGGAGACTACCAAACCTGGAAGTCCTCAAGTTACTTTCTGGTGCCTTTGTGGGGAAAATATGGAAAGTGGAAGAAGAGTTTCAGAATCTCAAGTTCTTGAGCTTAGACAGTCTGAACATTGCTCAATGGAATGCCTCTTGTGATGATTTTCCCAAGCTTGAAAGACTCATCTTACAAAATTGCAAAGACCTTGAAGAGATTCCTGCAGAGTTTGCAGACATATACACATTGGAGATGATTGAAGTACATTGGTGCAGTGAATCGGCGGAAAAATCAGCAATTAAGATTGGAGAAGAAACTGCAGATATCAAAGTCCTTATCAGGAGTTCGAATTTGAATTCATGAGCACAATTTGGATCACGTTACTTGTACTTCCAGCAACTTGTAAGTCTATTTAATGATTTCCAGCTTTTCATACAATTGCTCCATTCATTTTTGAGATGACACCTGTTGTATTTCTATTTGCTTCAAGACACATAGCTAGTCGAAAACTACTTAATCTGCTGTTTCATAAATTGCAAAGCTCTGTAAAATCCGGGAAGGTGCATTTTCTGTCCTCTCGAAACTCATTGCGCGTTGTTGTCTTAATTCTAGTGCTAACTTGGATTTAAACTCGTTAGTACTGTTAATTGCTAATTTTGCAACGGACCACTCGTAGCTTCTCAAGCTAGGATTTTGATTTGGTAAATCATGTTTGAACTTGAACCTGAAAGCATTTTCTTTGCCTTAGATATTTTGGGGAATTGGTGCTCAAAGGAATGGAGGTTCAGGTCTATAACTTGAAGACTACTCAGCTGGAACTTTGGAGGGTCTCGTTCACCATAAGCAAGAAGTTGTTGCCAAGCTTTGCCTCTCATTGGAACCTTCTAATTTTGTATTCTAGATTATGTTTTTGAACTAATGTAGCAATCTGACCCTGATTGCTAGAGGTTTGGTGGATTTTTTAGATTGGATGATGTGTATTGGGACCAATGGCCTTGAAATCCTTACTTCCTTACTTAATACTACATAAGAAGCACTTTCCGTTTCTACAGTAGAGCGATTTTCAAGTGCAACTTTGCTTAAATGGATGGTTTGTACCTTCGAGTGCTTCTCCTTGCTTAGAGGTATTGTACCTTTGAGGTGGTAGTGGTTGTTGTACATTTGTTTTGTACTGCCCCTGCTTCTGCGCTGTGACTTCTGTGGATTTCTGTTCGAAATTGGATACACATATAGTATTTTGAACACAAAACATGTCTTTTTTCTATTAAACAAGACATGTACAACTACTAAAACGAGTTTCCAAAAAATTAGCAAACTTAAAAATGAATAATAAAGTTCGGCAATGTTCAAGTTTAACCAAGTAAACAAAGGAAAACAAACTGCTATGATTTTTGACAATATACCATTCTTATCATCTCTTGCATATTTGCGTGCACAACTTGTTCAATCTCAACACACCAATTGCCTTAAGATCAAAACATAATTTGGATTCTCAAAACATTCAATACGAACAAAAGCTAACCTCCTAAGGGTACATCTGTTAAGAAAGACATAAACTGGGGTTCACAACCTCTCCCAAAAACTAATTTTTAGGTTCTTGTCAGTGACAAATAATATACAGAATAATTGACGAAGAGCATAAATCCAATCATTATTTTACTAAGTGTGCACAATGACAAAAAATGTTCACATAACCCAAATACTAAATTGCAACACTTAATGGCCACGATTCAACACAATTCACAACCAAACGAAATGTCTAATAAGGGACCAGTTCACACATAAACCAGCATGGAATAGTGCTAAAAATTGCTTCTTAAAACAAAGTATCTGTTAAGAGAAAAGAGTTTTCGGGGAAATATTTTCTCTATTTCATACAAATGATACAATGGTATTAGACCTATATATAGGCTTATAATATAATAGGCTAAGATTCAATAAATCTGGATAAATATGCAAAATGGTGATTACCTATTTAATCCATATCTAACACCTGATTGATATATAATTTAAATTCAAAAAATTAGATAATTATAATTAGCTCACTCCAACACTACCCCTCAAGTTGGTGCATAGATATCCCTCATGTCCATCTTGCCGGATGAGTTGCAGAAATTCTTAATCCGCACAGTTTTGATAAGTATATTAACCAGTTGATTTTTAGATTTTACAAACGATTAAAAGGGGTTATGATTTATAGTAAAAACAAGTTTGTAAATATCACTTATTCTCAGCAACAAAAGCTAAATATATTATATAATTAGAAAGTTAAACAAGTTAAGACTCTTATATTGTTGAGATAGTGAAGTATATCATCTCAAATATATAAATATTTGATGAAAGATGATTATATATTCCTCTATTATTTTTAGTTTTAATGGACAAAATTATAAGTATATCCTTGCATATGAATTGGGTCAGGTATCTGCGATTTTCAAAGTTTTTGAATTGTGACGGGACGTCCTTCTTTGTTAATCTGATTTGCTGCTACCCGAACTACACATATTAAAACCGATTCGAATATCCTAAATTTGCGGTTCAGATCGAATCAATATTTACGATTTTTTGGGTTTCTCTGATCAAAATAAACAACCTATGTTACGTAAACTTGCAAATCTTTATTACTTACAATCAAACAAAAATTTATTCCTATCCTACCATAGAACCCAACAGACAACGGGAAAAAGAGGAAACCAAAGAACATTAAAGCGGTTAGCAGTTGAGAATTTTTTACAACCAAAACTGTAATTATGAAGTGGAGTTAAGAAGGAAAACTTTAGATGTATATTTATGAAATTTACTTGCCTTATATATTTCTAAACATATCGAGCTAGACAACGTGAAAATCGTGATTGTTCATATTTTCGAGATTGAAATTATGTTCAAATTTGGATTAAAACCTAAACAAATAAACTTGAACGGGTTTGGTTCGACGGAGTTCAAATCAAGTACCAAACTATTTAGTTTAATTTACGGCCCTAAACATCACACAGACTAATCTCATTTTCTGCTTACACCAGTATGCGTATATCACAAAAGTTGGCTTCTTGATGACCACGAGTTTTGCTTTCACTGAAGGTATGTATAATGGTAGCAGCCTCGCTGTGTCGGAGGAATCCGGTGCTCAACAACGTGAGGGAGATGCCGCTGGCCGGCACAAGCGGCCTTTTCCTGTTTGCTAATGGTTAGGCGCAGGCGACAACTCACGACTTTGACCACTGAGCTCCGGCTCAATAACCATAAAAAGGGACTAAAATGGTGATAGAACGCCCTTTTGATCAAGTAGATTTTTATATAACCTCTTTAAACTGTTTTTTCTTAAATTAGAATAAATTAAGTTATAAAAATATTATTATTACCTTTAAAAAAAAAAAAGACAACTCTATTACCATTAAAAAAAAAAGACAACTCCGAAACGGATAATGCTGAGTACAACATACATGTAATGAATTATTGATGATCGTGGGATTATTTTCCTTATGAAATCGGAGTTTTTCCTTTGCTTTTGTTTTCTCTGAGTAATTTCAATAGAGTGCTTAATTGTTGAATTTATAGTAGTATCTACCACCACCTATCATCGGATATTGGCGATAAGTGTTTGTATTAGTGTTAATAATGGAATGTAAAGAGGATAAGGCTAATGAAGTTCAAATTGTAGCTAAATTGTAAATCTCGACATGTACGCAAATTATCTAAATTATGCATGATACCCAATTTTACACTCAAAGCTAATATTTATAGAACTTTGGGCATACTAGGCAAATCAAGTCTCACCAAAAGCCATCCACAAATCCACCAAAAGAAAGAGGAGGAAAGATACCCTCACAAGGAAGAGCATCAGCAAGCATTTCCCAGATCACAACTGCCTCGTTAACTTCACTAGGAAGACCTGGAGAAGAACCATACTATCGCGTAAGACCAGGCTTTCCCTCCTCTTTTTCCCGGGCTTGGGACCGGCTGTCTGTGGAGACAGGCAGAGTTACAAGCATACTACCACACAAAACAGCACAAACATACAAACAAGCAAGCCACAATCAAGAACAATAGAGAAGAAAGTGCAGACTTATATCACAAATTACTACACATTCCTTCAAAGCGATCAAGTCTCACAATTTACTTTCTTCACTTGTTTTCATACCAAGTCTCACCTTTTATCATAACTGCAGACTTAACCATTAAATCAACTAAATCATCACCATTAGTTACGAACTTGCAAATTAGGGGAATCAACCACTGAAACAAATATGATGCAACAGTTAATTTTCTATAGCATTGTACCAAAAAGAATTCGAAAAGGTTTAAGGAAAGCTCCAGTGAAGAGAATGCGATATAAAACAGATTTACATACAAAAAATAAAATAAAATAAAAAACTTAAAAAATTTGAAAAAAATCATAATGCTAGACTGATAAAGATCAAATATTATGTATTGCAATCATCCAACAAATAGACCCTACTCATGGGACCGTCATACAATCACAGGGGCTTAAGCTGCACAGGCAAACCATATAGAACTAATGATAAGTTGACCTGGAAAACAGGAACTCTTTCATTTCTTGAAAAATCCAACGAAATCAACCTCAAAGTTGTGTACGCACTTCAACCAAATTGATGATTTTCAATACTCGTAAACAAGGCATTTGGATTCCTCTCAATTTGTCAATCATTTACAAATGGTTCCATGAACATAAAAACCTGTGCCAGGGCCTGCCAAAATGGAACCATCTCCCAAAACAGCAACGCATACTATTGCTGATCTTAGATTGGACCTCTTGATGCCACACCATATCTGTTAGGACCATAAGCAAAGATTGTCCAACAGCTTCTTCCCAAGGATGACAGAATTCAGTCACATGCACTTTAAAGTTGCATACTAAAACCTACGTACCAGAGGATCACAAAATTCAAGTATGAAATGAAATTCACACAAAATACCAGTACCAGTGGTATGTAAGTTGATGACCACAAAAACAGATTGCATGCATCTGTTATTACATGACTGAACAATAACAGTACCTGTTCTTACATGACTATGAAAGCAGATATTGCATGCATCAAGCATCTGCTAACTACTGAGCATAACCGAATTTCTCTTCCATTCAACTGTAGATGATGAACGCTAGCAGCTGAGTATTCAATGGCGAAAGAGGACGAATCCCGTTAGACCCTCTTCAACAATAATGGACATACCAGTTACCACGCACCAAAAGCCCAAGAACGATAGGAGGCAAGAAATATACCTACTTCACCATGACCATGAACCCATACTGAGTTGCATCCTAGGCCGCACCCCATGGCATATCAGAAGTTTCTTTCCACATTCAAACATCAAAGTCGTCAATCAAATTCCATGTAGACTAGGAAGAGCCACATCTTTACCATCTATATGACTTGAAAGGAGACAAAAAAAAAAAAAAAGGCAACGAAAGAGAGAGCTCATCCAAAATCTTGTTACAAAACCGGTTAGCAGGGTCCCAAATGCACCAACACTCCGGGAACAAGCTCCTAAAAATAAAAAAAGACAGAAGCCATCACCCACCACCCCCAGTGATTTTTTCAGGCAAAGAGAACATAGAAATAGCAGGTTGAAAAGAAAATCTCCCGATTTATTCCCATCCATCCAAGAGAGAGCTCTTCTCGCCTACACACACCACAAATCCACTTTTCTTGAAAGACGACATCAAAAGAACCAGAGAAGGACAAATCTTGAAAAATCAACAAGAACAAAAACACAGTGATACCTTTTCCTTGAGGATCAGGAACAGAGACTTCCAAGCAATTACTGACAACAAATAATGCATAAGGCATTTCTACAAGCATGGTGACTATGGAAGAAGAGATTTACAAAGAATTTAGATTATATTTATAATAGTCTACAGACATCAAAAAGTACCAAAACCCTTGAAATGCTCAAGCCAAAAAAGAATGATAAGCATAGGTATGAAGATAAACCCCTCTAAAATAATGTACTAGCCTTTGATCTGAGGACAGAGACCTATGTTTTGGCCACCCCTCTGAATCACTGAAATCCTAGATTCGACACAGACAAATTAAATTAAAATGACATAGTAAATTAAAGAACAAGTAGAGAAAAATCATTTTTAAAAGAAAACAGCAAAAAAAAAAGAGTAGGGAAAGAGAGTGCTTATCCAATATCTTGTTACAAAACCAGTTAGCACAGGGTACCAAACACACCGACACTCCTGGAACAAGCTTCCCTAAAATCAAGACAACAGAGAGAAGCCATCACCCACCTGATTTTTTCAGGCAAGAGAGAACAAAAAAAGACCAGGTTGAAAAGAAAATCTCCCGATTTTATTCACATCCATCCAAGAGAGAGCTCTTCTAGCCTCCACATACCAGAAATCCACTATTCTTGAAAAATGACATCAAAAGAACCAGAGAAGAGAAGACAAATCTTGAAAAATCACCAAGAACAAAACAAACCGTCATTAACCTCAAAATCTTTTTACCGTCTTTTTACCAATCAACTCTATAAGGGAACTGCTCAAAAACCAGAGCAACTGAGTACAGCAATACAAAAATAAAGCAGAAAGCAAAACTCAAAATTAAGGATCACAATCACATCAATTCCATAATTCCAAGAAGAACCGCATCCCATAATTCTAAGAAACATCGCATCCAAAAAGCCCATGTTCCATCTCAAGTAGTGTTCTGCAAAGAAGTATGAGAACATGAATAGCCTACAAAGACTTGGCACAAAGATGAGAATAATCTTAAAATAAAAACTGTCGATAATTTACCATGCAATCAGACCAATATGCATAGCCTTAACTCTTCTTCAGATCAAGCTGAATGAGCAAAATACCAGGAACCTCACCCATACAAATAAACTTGAATAAGCACAGAGATGCATTTGGTTATAACCCATTCTATTCATCGTGGATCAGGAAAGTTGACTCTGCAAGACATGCCGCCAGGCCAAAAAGATTCACAGATAAATTATAATTAAGGCATTGAAACCCCTAAATTCCTCTAGCACAAAAGAACAATTTGGGTAGGTGAGAAAATAACTCCCTCCAAAAAATTTAACTAGCCCTTGATCTGAGAATGGGAAGGCAAGTTTGAAACACGAATCACTTCACTGAAACCCCAAGCTGCACCCTAGTAATATAGGAAATTATAGAAGAGGAGCAAATCCACAGATATCCTAATCAATTTCAAGGAAACAGAAAAAAAACAAGTAGGGAAAGAGAAAACTCCTCCAAAATCTTGTAAACTGGAATAGCAGGTCACACAAATGACGAGAATGCTCCAATCCAAACTTCCCTAAAATGAAGACAATAGATAAGCTATTATCAACGAATACCAACTATTTTTATGCAACAGAAAGAATTGGTTGGCAGAAAAAAAAAACTCCCGATTTATCACATTCATCCATCCAAGAAGAGCTCTTTTTTGCTTAGGGAAGGAAAGAGAAAACTCCTCCAAAATCTTGTAAACTGGAATAGCAGGTCACACAAATGATGAGAATGCTCCAATCCAAACTTTCCTAAAATGAAGACAATAGATAAGCTATTACCAACGAATACCAACGAATACCAACTATTTTTATGCAACAGAAAGAATTGGTTGGCAGAAAAAAAAAACTCCCGATTTATCACATTCATCCATCCAAGAAGAGCTCTTTTTTGATTCCATCCATCCAAGAATCACGAATCACTTCACTGAAACCCTAAGTTGCAGCACCCTAGTAATATGGGAAATTAGAGAACAAGGAGCAAATCCACAAATTTCCTAATCAATTTCAAGGAAACAGCAGAAAAACAAGTAGGGAAAGAGAAAGCTCCTCCAAAATCTTGTAAACTGGAATAGCAGGTCACACGAATGACAAGAATGCTCCGATCCAAACTTCCCTAAAATGCAGACAATAGATAAGCTATTACCAACGAATACCAGCTATTTGTAGGCAAAAGAAAGAATTGGTTGGCAGAGAAAAAAACTCCCGATTTATCACATTCATCCATCCAAGAAGCTCTTTTTTGCTTCCCTCCATCCAAGAATTACTTCCATACGCAGAACTCCATCATTCTCAGACCACATCAAAGAACCAGAAAAGAAGACAACCTTTAAACATCAACCAGAACCATTCAAGAATAACTACATCAACAAACCGCAAAACCTCAAGATCAATCCTCAATCAACACCACAGAAATTGCTGAAACCCAGAGCCACAACATATAGCAACACAACCTAAAGCAACGACTGAAATACCAATGTTGAGCCCAAATAAGAGATTATGTTCAAATACGTCCAATTAATTCACAGAGTAACATACAAGAGACCTTCCTCTCATTAAAGTTGCAAGTGACACAAAAAGCCAACAAAACTGAAATTGGATGCAAAGATGAGAACTGACAAATGAATTGACAAATTCAGATAATCTACCATAACACCAAACCTATTCATGTAACAAGCATAAACTCGATTCTTGTTCGGATCAAGAAGAAAATTCTATGGGAACTACCTAGAAAAACATGTTTGATGGCAGAATTTAAAAGCTAAGAAATACCTGACAGCAGCAATATTGCCACATTGACACAATCCTAAGCATCTGAGGACCATATGGAACCAAAATAAATTCAAAACCCTGAAGACAACAAATGGGCAAAGATAACTCTGATGGAGAAGCAGCAAAGTATGTGCGCAAATTGGATGGAGAGGTTGAAAGCTATTTCAACGGTGTTTCTCCTGGAGTTCTCAAAAAGAAAAATACTCGACAAAACTGTGTACAGGTATCAAAAGGTGCCAAAAGCATAAATTCTTCAAGTACAAGATTGTTTGTAAGAAAATAACTCCCTCCAAAACAGTTTACCATCTGAGGAAGAAAGGCTCAGTTATCACAACTCCAAATCACTGAAACCCGGTATTGCACAACACAGATTGATGCAGGAAATCAGAAAACGAACACAGCTGTCTCACAGAGCAAACCAGCACCTTTAGCCAGAGAACTCCCTAGTCAAACAGCAGAAAACAAGGACAGAGAACTTCTGGAATCTTGTAAACCAGTATAGCAGGATAAAAAATGCGACCAGACCCTCTTGCATTCAAGCTCCCCTAAATCAATACAACAGAGAGGATCAGTTACTAATTGACTCCCCGCCTAATTTTTTCAGGAAATAAAAAAGGAAACCAAAAAGGGAGGAGGGAAAAACTCCCAATTTCGTATAATATTCGAATGCAATATCTTTTTTAGCTCCACCTAAGACTAGGAATCTGCCAAGCCACGAGGAGGACATCAAAAGAACAAGAAAAAGAAAAGGCGACGATCTTGATAACAAAGAACAATCGGGAAATTACAAATCAACAAACCCGACAATAGTAAAAACACAAATCTTCATCAATCTTCGAACGACACCACACCAAAACTATTCAAAGTCCAGATCACCGCCAACAGCAAAAGAACAACAATAACCACACCACAGATATGAAAAAAAAACTCCAGGATTCAGATTACGCTCACATCCATCCAAGAGAGAGTTCCTTCCCACTGTACACATCCATCCAAGAGTGTTCCTTCCCACTGTACATGCCCGAAATCCATCATTCTACAATAAGCACATCAAAAAAACCAGAAAAGCACTAATTTTGGAGGAGACTTGATGTCAAATTTGTCTGATAATTGGAATTATCCAGAAATTACCACAAACAAACCAAAACTACTGCAAAAAATGGTATCCTTCCCGTTCAATCCTTCGAAATACCAGAGCCACCGCCCGGAAACAACCATGATTAAGTCTCAAAAATCACCATAAAAAAATTTAGCGATAATAAGCTTCAAATTAATCAAATCATCAAACCATAGAAGCAACTGTCCAACCCAGTGAAGATGATCAATTGAAGATCCTAACCTTCTGCTGAAACAAAAAACCACAACAATTGAATCTCATTTAGGGAAAACCTAATCCTAGAAAGAGCAGCAAAGTAGGTGCAGGCAAATTGAATGGAGAGGTTGAAAGCTATTTCAGCAGTGTGTGTCCTGAAGTTCTAAAAAAGAAAAAAAAAAACTCGAGAAAACAGTGTGCAGATATCAAAAGGTGCCAAAAGCACAAATTCCTCAAGCACAAGATTATGGGTGAGAAGATAACTCCCTCCAAATCAGTTTACCATCTGAGGAAGGCTGGCTCAGTTATCACCACAACTCCGAATCACTGAAACCCTATATTGCACAACACAATCCTAGACTCGAGAAAGAGCAGCAAAATAGGTGCAGGCAAATTGAATGGAGAGGTTGAAAGCTATTTCAACACAGTGTGTCCTGTAAGATCCAAAAAGAAAAAAAAAGTTGCCAAAAGCATAAATTCCTCAAGCACAAGATTATGGGTGAGAAGATAACTCCCTCCAAATCAGTTTACCATCTGAGGAAGGCTGGCTCAGTTATCACCACAACTCCGAATCACTGAAACCCTATATTGCACAACACAATCCTAGACTCAAGAGAAGAGCAGCGAAATAGGTGCAGGCAAATTGAATGGAGAGGTTGAAAGATATTTCAACACAGTGTCCTGTAAGATCCAAAAAAGAAAAAAAAACTAGATAAAACAGCGTGTAGATATCAAAAGGTGCCAAAAGCATAAATTCCTGAAGCACAAGATTATGGGTGAGAAGATAACTCCCTCCAAATCAGTTTACCATCTGAGGAAGGAAGGCTCAGTTATCACCGCAACTCCGAATCACTGAAATCCTATATTGCACAACACAAGTAATGAAGCAAATCAGAAAACGAACACCTGTCTCGCAGAACAACTCAGCATCTATAGCCAGAAAACTCCGTCAAACAGCAGAAAAGGAGGACAGAGAAAACTTCTCTCGAATTTGGTAAACCAGTATAGCAGGGTAAACCCTCTTGTATCCAAGCTCCCCTAAATCAATACAACACATAAGGCCCGTTACCGATAGACTCCCGACTAATTTTTTCAAGAAATAAAAAGGGAAACCAAAAAAGGGACGAGGGAAAACACTCCCGATGCCGTATAATATTCGCGTCCAGAAAGTCTCTTTTAGCCCACCGAAGACTAGGATTCTGCCACGCCACAACGAGAACATCAAAAGAACCAGAAAAAGAAAACACGAAAATCTTGATAACAAAGAACGATCCAGAAATTACTAATCAACAAACCCAACAATAGTAAAAGTTGAATCTTCCTCATCAATCCTCGATCGTCACCACACCAAAACTACTGAAAGTCAAGAGCACCGCCTACAACAATAACAACTACAGATATGAATGAAATAAAAACTCCAGATTCAGATTACCCTCACATCCATCCAAGAGATAGGTCCTTCCCACTCCACATGGCCCGAAATCCATCATTCTACAAGAAGCACAGCAAGAAAACCAAAAAGAAGAACCAAAAAGGGCTAACTTTGAAGGAAATTTGATGTCAAATTTGTCCGATAATTGGAATGATCCAGAAATTACCACATAAACAAACCGAAACTAGTGCAAAAATTGGTACCCATCCCGTTCGATCCTTCGAAACACCAGATCCACCGCCAAAAACACAATCATGATTAAATCTCGAAAATCACCATAAAAAAATTAGCGATAATAAGCTTCAAATTAACCAAATCATCAAACCATAGAAGCAACGATCGAGCCAGCGATGATCATCAATTGAAGATCCTAACCTTCAACTGAGGCAAAAATCCACAGCAAACGAATCTAATTTGGAGAAAACCTAGCCCTAGAACCTAAACAAAACCTACGACGAAGAAGAGCAAACCAATATCTTACCACACAACTAGCAGGCGAAAACGGCAGGTGCCAGTGGACTGGGTGGAGGGATTTGGTTCTTTATACATGTTTGGGAAGAGAATGAACGGTTAGGATTAAGCGGTCATCTGTGATCTGGTCGGTTGAAAAGAGGTCTTACCAAAAAGTCCGCTAGGACTTGGGCTAAGATTCTCTTACGCGTATTGGACAAAAGTCGGTTGTTTATTTAATGGGTTAATTACATTTACCTCCCCTGAGGTTTGATCATATTACCAATTAATCCCTATAATTTATCCAAATAACGGTCTCACCCTTTGAATGATCAAATATTTAACAAAAACCCCCTTAATATCGAAAATGCCTTTATTGAGGCCATGTTGCATTAAAAAAAGAACATATTTTTATTTTATTAACCCTAAAGCAATCTAAAAAAATAGAAAAAGTTTTTGCTTATTATTTTATAAAAACCATATATTTGCTTTCATAAATAGTTTTGAATCAATAATTATTTTAAATCTTAAAAATGAATATTAAAAATTAGATAAATTGAAAGAAAAATAAAAAAAGAAGAAATTATTTTAATTCCTGAAGTATGGTTCAAATTGAGGAAAACATACCTTGTGCTCTCCGCAACATGCCTTGAACCACAAATTCGAACCATACTTAAGGATTTAAAATAATTGCTTCTTTTTTATTTTTCTTTCAATTTATCTAATTTTCAATATTCATTTTTAAGATTTAAAATAATTATTGATTCAAAACTATTTATGGAAGCAAAGATATAATTTTTATAAAATAATAAGCAAAAATTTTTTTCTATTTTTTTGGATTATTTGAAGGTTAATAAATAAAAATATGTTCTTTTTTTAATGCAATATGACCTCAAAAAGGGTATTTTCGGCATTAAGGGGGTTTTTGTTAAACGTTTGATCATTCAAAGGGTGAGACCGTTATTTGGACAAATTACAGGGATTGATTGGTAATATGGTCAAACTTCAGGGGAGGTAAATGTAATTAACCCTTATTTAATTTAGGAAATTTGGCCACCACAAGATTTATAGATTTTTTTATTTATTCTTTTACCAAAATTATTTTTGAAAAAATCCTTGACAGCTGTGCATGTCAAAGCCCATAAGCTTTGGGGAACATTCTCAACACTTGCCTGTTGAATTGTTGACAGCTGGACTTTGATAGCAGTAGTACTTATCTTGTGTATGAGAAGAACTGTTTTTTGTTGTTATTTTCTAGAGTTCTCGTGAAAGAATATATCTGTAGAAAATGTAAAAAAAAATTTATTAAAGATCAATTCGTAGAAAAGATATAATTTTTTTGAAAGAAATATGGCAATCTGAACAAGGATTACTTTGGTAAATAGTAAATAATTGATTTGTTTGGACAAGTTATTATTTTAAAAAATATTTTTAATTACATCTCAAACACTTAACATAAATATACTGCTGGTATATATATGTTCATTAATATAATCTCCTTGATTTTTTTATTAGCGTGAATAAATAAAATACTTAAAAGTTTTAATTTCAGTTACAATCTCATAACAAAATAGCGATTGAAATGCAATATAGATAGCAAGTTTGAGTAGGGATATCGGGTACATCTATGTTTATTAGTATAATCTTCTTGATTTTTTTTAATATGTGTGAATAAATAGATACTCAAAAGCTTTAATTTCAATTACAATCTTATAACAAAATAGTGGTTGAAATATAATAATAGATAGCAAGATGGGGTAGGGATTGTTGCGTGATTGATGTTATAGATAATTATTTTTAAAAAATTGATAAATAATTATTATTCAAAAAATATTTTTAAATTCATTATAAAAACTCGTGCTTTATATCATAAATATGTGGGTATATCTATGTTTGTTTAATATAATCTAGTTGATTTTTTTTTGAATAAACAAAATACTCAAAAGTTTTAATTTCAACTATAATATCATGATGAAATAGGTGTTGAAATGCAATAATAGATAGTATATTATTTGTCAAAATTTATTTATTTGTATTATTAATATATTTTTTAATTATTCTTTTATTTCACATACATTACAAAAGTGCTACATTATTTTTTCAAAAAAATTATTCCAAATAATCTATTATTCAAACACAGGCTGATATTGTTGCCTAATTGACGTGGTAGATAAGTATTAGACAAAAACATTAATAAGCAATTGAGTGCCAATTATATTTTTCGAATGGACAAAAATGTGAATTTGGAGACCTTTCTTTTTTTTTTTTCTTTTTATAAAATGGACCGAGTGAAAAAGTCAAATGGTCTAAATGAAGCACAAGAAGACTCCAGATTTCTGTGAAGTTGATATTGGGCTGGAATACTCCAGAAAATTCCAGACTCCTCTGATGTCTCATTTAGGCCATCTTGAGTATGAACTGCATCATTGCCCAGTTCGGCTGACAATATGCACCATGTTCCTGTAAACTTCTACGAGACCGGGCTTCAGCCTTTAATGTTTAAGCTTTGTAAGCATTCTTCAGTTTCTAGGAGATTGGGCTTGGCAGCTGATTTGTGGGCACTTTGCCATGGCATCTGTGGTTTTGAAATCCTATATTATATATATATAAAAAAAAAAAGAGTTATAGTTTGTCTGTTGGGTGATTTTTATCTAATATTTTAAGGGGCAATTTAGAGATTGTATAAGTATCATACAAGTAATCCACCTTACCGTACAAGCGGGCCATGCTCATTGGGATATGAGTTTACTAAAGTGCCCTTTGTGAGATGATGATTACATTCATAAATGGTAGTTATGTGTTGTTAATGATAAAACACAAAGGAAGTGAGGTGAATTGGGGGAAAGCCATCCTATTGAATTAAATGTGTTTAAGACAATATTAATTGGCCAAAGTAGAAGAACCATTTGAAAACTCTTTGTGAATTGTAACCGTCCGAAATTTTGTGCTCTTCATCGTTAAAGTTTAAGAAACATTAATTGCATTCTTCCAACAAAACACACTCATTTGAACAGGTAATTGCAGCATGTTGAAGAGCTCATTAAAGTGTGAGAGATTAAGAATCATTTGAGTTCAATGTTCAAGTTGTAACTGAAGACCCCCTATTTTCTCCACCATTTATAGATTAGTTTCTGAACTAAGTGGTAATAATGGTAGTCATTAATATAAAAACTGTGGGTTCAGATGTTTCTATTTCACACCATTAGAGTCAGATTTGTAGAGGTATGCTCATTTTCACTCTTTCTTCTCGCTTTGTTAACTGTATAGCTTTGTTTGCACAATAAAAATTCCTAATTTAACTTTTGTAATAGCTATTGCAGGTGGGTGAAGTGTGGGCAAATTTTCTTAGATTGCATTTTGTTCCTCAAGGTACAAGGTAATTGTGTATTTCACTTGATGCATGTCGTCTGTTGTTTAAATGTGATTTCAATTTTATTGCATTGATTACAACTATGTGGCGATTTTAGCAAGTGTTTGAATGATTGATCTAGTTTTAAAAGTATATTACAGGTGATGCAATTTTTTATTTCAATAGTTAAGTGCATGAATTGGTGTGTGTGGATTGAAATTACTAATTGAATAGACAAATCTCTATATTCATATGCTATTTTATTTTCTTACTGAATTTAGTTGAACTCATGACAGAAGTCTTCAGAAGTAACAACAAAACCAAGCTCCACTCTAGAAGTTCCGACCACAATTACTAAAACTCAAAGTTCTGCAGAAGGTGCTCAACTACCAATTAAGAAGTACTGTATCTAGAGAAGTAGAAATCTAATTGTGTCTTTGCTCATTCCTATATCACCTACTCTTCATTAGAAAAGATTGCGAGACTGCTACCCCAGTTATTTACTTAAGCATCAACCCTCAATTTGAACTATAACTCATGTCTATTATCCCTTCACTATGGTTGCGGAAACTTTTAAAATTCTCTCAACTGATTACCTATTATAATAATATGCAATATTTAGATGAACATGGTATGACATTTTTGCTACCATTAATAGTATACCTTGCCTAAGATAAAAACAAATTATCCAACATTACCAAATTATTCAACAAAAACCATAGGTATAAACTCCATGCTTTGCATGGGCCTTCTCCCTAGTGCTAGAATAGAATCGAGTCAAATTCTCGAGTGGATATTCAACTTGTCAATTAGATCACGGTCTCACAAGTTTTATTTCAGGCTAGTTGAGAATAAAAGGATTATTTTACATCACATTATAATAATATTGGTTTACTTTTTTTTTTTTTTGCCGGAGACGATAAACCTAATCTATCTTACACTAAGGGGAAGGGGGCGGGCCTAAGGGGCCCAGGGATAAGTCGGAGGAGACTGAACCACCACCGGACTAATAATATTGGTTTACAATCGTGCCTAAAATCTATTTATACCATATCTCTATGTAGAGTAAATTGATTTGAATTGAAACTTGTGAAGTCTTTGATCCCTTGTCAATCGTGCATACGCAGGTCATAAGTTTTCAACATGGTGTGGAAATGGGAACTTGTCACCAGATTTTATGGATGTTTCCTTCCTTCATTGTGCTACTATTACGTAACTGGCAATTAGGTCTCCGATTGACCCAAAAAAAAAAGACTTGGGTATTTAAAATTTTTGCTTCTTTGTAATTCTTTTTGCTACAAAGTGTCATCATAAATTTATGACCTATATGTTCGATATGTGAGATTTTTTTTTTTTTTTTGGAGATTGTCTCACATTGATTATAGCTACATTAGTTAATATGCTATAAAATCACCAGTTCTTTTCACTTAAAATAATCTTGTGTATACAAAATTAAAAAAATGATTGATCTACATTAAAACATTAAAATAGTTCAATACCCTTGTTTAAGTGAATTATGAACTGTACATATAATCACATCTTTCTGAAGACTCAGCAGATCATTGTACATGCATTATTCACTCCGGATCCATTTTAACATGAACTCCAATCTCCTGTCATGTGATTTTCCTTTCTCCCACAATGAAACAATTTTGTTGATATAATTGACTAGAACTTCGACTCAATTAAATTGTTTTACTCCCATAACTTTTCC